AACATAAAAAATTCGCTATACAAAACCTCCAATCTTTTAATTTATTGCTAATTAAAATCAAATGAATTAAGAAAAACAAAACAACAACCTGCAATAAGTATGTTTAAAAATGCATAGAAGAATAAATAAAACAAACTAAAATTTTTTTAATTTAGCTAACCCCAAAGAGTTGAAATGAAAAGTTGAGGAAATACATTGTTTGGGGCCAATTGGTGCAAAACACATCTGATAAATTGGCAGGCAGTATTCATAGAATTACCAGTCAAAACAATATTTGACCTGTATGAAAAGTTACTTGGTGTATTAATAAAAACCTTCATTTAAATCTAGTTTATTCAATCAAAATTTTTAATTGCATTTTTAAGCAAACAAAACATGGTGACATAAAATAAAAATTTAAGTTAATATAATATTACAAAATAATTTACTGTTCTGATTGCCATAAGAAAGGACATTTATTTGCTATCCTGAAAATAAAATGTTTTATTGAAGTTTATCATCATAATGAGTGCTTTGTAATTGTATAGTTATTAAGAATTCATAAAAAATTACAATATATATGGAAATTAGAAGGTGCAGCTAAATAACGTGAGGTTATAGCGATTGAACAAACAAGCCAGCCAACCAGCCAGCCACCCAAAAAACCAACCATAAAAATTAATTAAGATAGTTCTAATGCATTATTGAACAACGCTTTTTAATAAGTTTTGCGAATAGAGGTTTTTACTTCTAAACTTCGCAAGTGATAAAAAAACTTTATAAATGAAGAAATAAATTTTTTCCACAAAAATGAGCAAAATAAAGCACAGTATAAGAGTGTGTAAATTGGTGTATGAGAACAAGATTTAGAGATATGAAAAAAGAAAAGATCTGCTACTCAGCTAAACTAGTAGCAGAGTTAAAAGATTTAGTCAACGGATATAGATAAAATCAAGAAAACCATAGTAGAGAAAATTCAATCAATCAATCAATCTTCGTTTTGCGTCCAGAGACCCGGTTCCCCGAGGTAGGACATTTCTTTGCCATCAACTTTTTGCGCCAAATTAGACGATCAGTTGTATCCATTTCATTTAAATTTAGAGCTTTCATGTCTTGCTCGATTGTTTGCGACCAGGACTTTTTTGGAAGGCCTTTGGGACGTGTGCCAGGTTTTTCAACATCTGCAAGAAAAGTTATGGCACTGTTTCCACTTTGTTTGACATGACCAAACCAACGCAGACGGTGTTGCCGGCATTCGTTTTTTATATCATCTAAATTAGCAAGACGCAGGATTTCGGTAGATTTGATGTGGTCCTTCAGACTAATTCGTTGCATCAATCGGAGCATTTTCATGTCGGTTCGTTGAAGTTGTTGTTCCAGTTTGGTTGTTTTGCACTATATAACAACACCGGACGTATCACAAATTTATAAAATCTTGATCTTAGTGGTAGTGGAATGTTACGCCGCATCAATATATAGGCAAGGAGATGCCATTTATTCCAGACTCGAACGGCAGCTTCAGCTGTTCCAGTACAATCCAGAACATCCCCTAGATATTGAAGCGATGTGACTTTCTCTACCTTAATGGCTTCAAAAACAGCGCTATTTCACATGGTAGAGCAAATTAATTACATTGATGAAATTCAAGAAAAATTAGTTTAACAACAATTATAATTTTTCTAAAAACATATTAACCTAGACACACAAAGTAACATATCTGGTAGCAATGGGGCCGCCAAGGAAGGTTCTCTATGTATAAACGTGGCCAAACAGACGATAGCCATGTTGATTGTATCTTCATCGTATGATTCGAGAAGTGAGGAGCACACTGTACAATGATCAACCAACAAATTATCAACCGATTTGCTACTCGAAGACCCTAGTAATATCGTCGTAGGAATAGATGAGGATGAAGCTGAAATTTTATGCTTGAGCTCATAATCGTCTGATTGTTTTGTTAGACGAGATTTCGATCTAAATAAAATGAATCATAGATTATTATCCTTAACAAATTAATATTTATTTTCAAACACAACACACCCACACATACTCACACACACTTATGTTTACATTTGTATTTATATATTTGTATATTTAATAATAATATCTATATAAAAATTAATGTTTGTTTGTTTGATCTTTATAGGCTCAAAAACTACCGAAATAATTTATTTGGCAGGATGATCAGGATAAGTACTACAAATTTAATATCTGTAATGGATGCCCATTAATACGAAATTTTTTGTTCATCGATTTGGAAAAGCTCATTGGATCAACTTAGTGTTTAAGCAACTATTAGTTGTTTGATATTAAGCAACAATGAAGAATGCTCAGAACTAGTAATAATATACATCTTTTAAAACCATATATTAAAAAATTAACAAAAGTAGATAATAAAAATTCAAATGACAATTTCCAAGATAAAGCCATATATGAATCAAAGGTAACTTTAAATTAATTTAAATCACACTTGAGGCGTAAAGTGGAGAATCACTTTAAATTCGATCCCGGTCACTGAAACAGCAATGCCAGCACCTTAACCATTAAATCATCGCACCCCTCTAAATAATAAAAAAATTTTTATATGTTTAGACGACATTTTCCGATTTCGGGGGTTGCCGTTTGGCTACCTATGATGAAACCGAAATACCCCTCGGCGCCATTCACATCTGTCACTCGCCTCAGTATCAAGCAACCCCGCTTTCACTCTGTCCTTCTCCACTTCTCCACCTGCTCTCTCCATCCCAATCGCGGACGACCTCTTCTTATCACTCCTTCAACCTCGAACTCCAACGCATGTCCATATCACCGTAATCTCGATATCCTTATCAATGTCACAATGTCCTCATTCAGTCCCATCATCGACATCGGTTCCATACTACTCCTCCTATTCTTCACTTTAACCCAACACACCATCCTCACCATAGCTCTTTCAGCCCTCTGCAGTACCCTTTCCTCCTCTCTCCTCAACACCCAAGTTTCACCACCATATACCATCGCTGCTCTTACACATGCTTTATATACCCTCCCTTTCATCTTCACTGACCATTTCTTTCCACACAATACTCCCATCCAGTTCCCTAAATTTCATCCATTCCCCACGAATTCTTGCCGTAACAGCGCTCAAACATCCTCCATCCGCGTTCAGCTTAATCCCTAAATAAACAAAGCTTTCCACTCTTTCAATACCACCACTTAACCCTTCCTTGCGTCCGTCCTATTAATTACACCATGAACACATTTCTTACATTTGAACGTGCCTTCCAGCTTTTTCAGTGCCCCCATCACACTACTACATCTCTTATGCAACCACTTCTGACATCCTATACACAATACCGAGTTAGCCTTCACTCTCCTGTCACATACCCCACAGGGGTCTATTTTACTTATCACTCGCTCCCCACCTTCCCCACTCACCATTACCTTCGTCTTATCAATATTAACTTTTAATCCTTTCTTTTCGTAAACACTTTTCCATCTGTCAAATTTTAACTGCAATTCTTCCATGATATCAGCCATCAAGACTAAATCATCTGCATAAAAAAATCTCAAATAACAAACCCTCCATTATGTTTCCACACACAACATCATCACAATTGCAAACAAAAACGGTGATAAAACTGATCCTTGATGCACTCCTACCTTAACACTAAAAGCGTCCGACATTCCTCTTCCGACCCTCACCTTTGTCTTCGCCCCTACATACAGCTGCATCACAGCTTTAACAAGTCTCTCATTCACTCCTTTCTTCCTCAACGCCCGTTCAATGACCTTCCCCGGTACTCGATCAAAAGCCTTTTCTAGATCCACAAATCACATGTACAATCTTCGTTTCTTCTTTTTATAATTCTCCAGCATCATTCTCACTATGAACAACGCATCTACCGTTCTCCTTCCAGGCGTTAATGAAATGCAGTGTGGGTATAAACCCACACTGCATTTCATTAACGGTCACCATATTTCTCAATCTCCTCTCAAGCACCCTCTCCACTACCTTCTTTCCATGCTCTTGCAATTTCACACTCCTATACGACCCATAATCTCCCACATCTCCTTTGCCCTTATACAACGGCACCAACATACTGTGTCGCCAATTCTCAGGTATACCTTCATCATCAAACATACTGTTAGCAATTCTCATCATAATTTCAATTTTTATCACATCACTCGCATTTATATGTTCCGCCGCCACTTCCGAAACACTTGTCGCTTTACCTAGTTTCATTTCTCTAACTGCTTTCTCTACTTCCTCCATTGTCACCTCCTCTATGGGTCCGTGTGTAACCGCGGATTCGACATCTTCACCCCATTCATTCTCTTCATTCATCAACCTTTCCATAAGGGCTTTCCACGCGTGAGCTTTTGTCTCCTCATCTATGCACAACTTGTCAGATCCATCCCAAACATATCCATTCCCTAAAACATCTTTCCTATCCCTCATTGACTGCTTTGCTACTTTGAACATTTTCCTCAAACAGACATCAAATTCCATTTCCCTCATTAACCTATCTGATGCTTTCGTCATTGCAGTTGCCACTAACCGTTTTGCAACCATCTTAGCCTTCCTATACTCAAACTCCGCTTCCCACGTCATGTCCCTTCTCCACACCCTAAACCTTTCCTTCTTGACTTCCAAAACCTTTCTTATATCTTCATCCCACCACCACGTCTCACCACGCCTACACTTTCCTTTCGTCCAACCACATACTTTATCTGCCGTAGTCAACACACAGTCCCTATATCTTTCCCAAACATCTCCATCTTTACCATTCTCCCAACTTTCACCACCTTCACTGCAAATGCCTTCCTCACTTCTGCATCCTGTAACTTCCATTTCTTTCTCTTTGCCACAAACTTATCCTTTTTCCTCCTCCCCATTTCTTTTGATGCCACATCCATCACAATCATACTATGCTGCAACATACCAGGTATCGCCTTCACATTCTTTACATAATTTCTATGCTTTGCCCTTATCAATATATAATCTATCATTGACCTATGCTTCCCTGACCTATATGTAATTAATCGTGCTGGTTCCCTTGTAAACCAGATAGTCCCCACCACCATGCTATTGCATCCACTAACTCCAACACTCTAAGCTCTTCCTCATTCCGTATACCATATCCCCATCCCCCATGTACACTTTCATATCCGTCTTCATCCGCCCACACATGATCATTCAAATCACTCAACAACACCACAAACTCATCCAACCCCGCTTGCCCAATCTCGTCAGAAACATCATCATAAAACCTATCCTTCTCCTCTTCCTTCCTACTTTGTTACGGAGCATATCCAGATATTACCCTCACTATTATCTTTCCAAACAGCATCCCCACCACAATTAGACTATTGCTTTTCCGCCTCACTTCCAACACCTTCTTCACCAACTCTTTTCTTACCATCACACCTACTCCTCCCGTACCACAACTTATACCTTCCGCCTTTAGCCCCCACAAACTTTGTACCCTCTCCCTTCCATCTGATCTCCTGTAATGCAGCCACGTCAACCATTCTTCCTGCAACTCCTCCACCACTTTCAAACTCCTTCCTGTCAACGTGCCTACATTCCAGGTACCAAACCTCCAACTCCTTGGTCTACAAGTAATCCTTCCAACCATAGTGCCTTGCACCGCTACACTATAGAGTGGGGTGCCAGTAGCCAGACCTTGCACCGCATTCCCATGGACTGAGTCTCCGAGAATTCTTTGCACCCTCTTCTGCCGGATACTGAAAGTGATTGTCACTTCTGTCATCATAAGTATTTTTTTTGACTAATTTTTACGCAGGACGCCCTTCCTTACGCAACCACTTTATAGTGTAATCTAGAATCTAATCTAGCATGTAATCTAAACAGATACGGATAATGACATATTGACGGGAAGGATTATTTCGTAAATCTTCTTTGGACACATTCAATCTTGATCACTTATCACTTGATACTTGTAATGCGGACTCCACACTGGTGAACAATATACTACTAGTGGTCGTACATATGTGCAGAAAGCTTTCGTAAGTAGAGCATCATCTCAGGAGGTGAAGAGTCCGATGTTTAAGCGTGCACGGGAAGTAGCCCTGTGAGTCATGTCGCTGATATGAAGATTGAACTTGAAATCTTTTGTTGAATTTCTACATAACAAACTCAAAAGAACTTTAAAACTTAATAATAATAAATTACAATATATACAGATAATACTAGTAATAAATTATCAAAATGACTTGCCTTATATATTTTATTATCATTGGTAAAAAGTATAAGGAATACAAAGTTAAGTTATATCAAGCGCTAAGTTATAACAAAGTTCATCAAACAAACTTTCGTAAATTTAAATAATTTAAATAATAAACTGTTCAAACTTTGCTAAACAATCCGTAAGTAGATGGTTGAATTCAGGAATTTCACGAACCATTTGAACCATACTAAGTCCAGACTTTCTGACTTTTCTCGACCGATAACTAGGCTTTAATGACGATTTTTCGGAAACGTTGTCTACATTTTATAAAAAAAAGTTCCTCAATAAAAAAAAATTTATCAGTATAGAATTTTAAACCATCTTCGACATCTTTAGGAGTGTGGAACTTATAAAATTCATCAGCACTAAAATCATCTTCATCAACCAATAGTTCGTCTTTTTCATCTTTACAGTTTTCAGCAAACTCCTGCATAAACAATATAAATTTAAAAAAATATTCAATTTATTTTTATTTAAATTTTAAAAATTTCAAAAAAATACCACTTGAAAATGATATTTTTTTCGAAATGAAACATACCTCAATTTCTAAATAAACAGATTTAATATTTTCGACTCTCGGTAAAAATTTTCAATAAATATTTATGTTGACACTTTTAAACATAATAAAAATAAAATAATATATAAATCTATGTTTGTTTATTGTTTCCTGCTTCATAAGTATTCAAATTTATATGTTGACAAATTTGATAAAAGCAATAACATGTGAAAAACAAATAAATTTATAATATTTTCATTAAATTGTTTCAATCCAGATCTATTTTAATTATAAAAATCGACAAAAAAAATCAATCAATCAATCTTCGTTTAGCGACCAAAATCCCAGTTTCCCGAGGTAGGACGTTGTTTTCTTTGCCATCAACTTTTTGCGCAAACTTAGACGATCAGTTGTATCCATTTCATTTAAATTTAGAGCTTTCATGTCTTGCTCGATTGTTTGCGACCAAGACTTTTTTGATAAGAAATACTAATCTACCAGTAAGCAATGGTTACAAAACATCATACATTGAGAGCACCATTCAACAAAGACTACAAGATAGCAATATATTAAAAAACAACAATGAAAACGACATAATCCTACAGAAATCATGTCAACGGCAAATAAAATAGACGAAGTCGTTCTCAAACAAATCATAAAAAGAAATGTTACACCAATCAATAATAACAATAAAATAAAACTCAGGATATACTATAATAATCGTAAGACATCACAATAGGTCTTAAAAAACAACTGCAATCTTAAAGATCATTCTACTTTGAAGCGTAATCATGTAATATATAAATTTAAATGCCCTATTGACGACTGTGTGCGTTACGACCACATCACTATCAAGACAATGAAAGAGGAGCACAAATCTCACTTGCAATCAACACATGCAACACCAATAGCCCACCAAATTCTTGACAACAGCACAAAAACAATTTATCAAAACACCAAAACACTACATTAAAAAATTGCAGAAACTGTCCTAATAAATATCAATAAACCCCAAATAAACATCAAACAAAAAATGATTACATTATTACTAACTCGACGCTTTAATTCTGACTCCAATAGCAATGAAGAACAAAGAAATGACTACAAAAAAATGAAAAACTAACTTTGCTTTGTTTAAAAAACTATACAAACCAAACTTGCACTGAAGATGATTCGTGAAAAATCGAAATAAGGCCCTTATCTTCATCATAGTTTTGAAGTTTTTCATGACTATATTTCTTAATTTCTTTCATCCGTTTTATATGACGTAGACAAAGTTTTTGTTCCTTTTATAATGTTGCTCTCGTTTTAAGATTATCAAATAAATGAATGATTTTTTTTTATAACCATTAACAGCTAATTATCGCTATCGCTAATGTTTATCAAATTGTTGAAAACAAAATTGTAAAATTGCTGGGAGTGTATGTACCTGGATTCAGGACTGTCTTTCCGCCAACACATTCAGCATGTATGCAAAAATAAGCTTTATCAGTCGGTATATAAAATAAAGCAAAATTTAATATGCTCTACAATGCCATCTTTACACCATAAGTATTATACTGTAATATAATTTGGGCCAACTCTTATTTTTCAATAACGAAGCCTGTTGAAAATATGACGAAACGTAAGTTAGGATTAATAATAGCATCGACTGACAATCTGAATTTTCGTCGAATGAATTTGTATTTTTCTGTACGATTTGTTTGGAAAATTGCCAAAAGTTTTTAACAGCTACTTTAAGCTGGCATTGAATACTAGACACAATGTTATCTACTCAAACAAACCTAAAACTAATATACTTCGTCATTCTATTAAAATGTAGTGGTCTAAGAGTGTTGAATGAATTGTTAAGGAAGGGATTTAAATTTACGGCTATTGATTATTCCAGTTTTCAGCGATCGTTGAAGTCAATTCTAAAAACAGTTTTTTGACGCCTTTTTTAATACTTTTTAATATTAATAATTTATAAAACAATTATATTCTCTTTTATTTTATTATAACTTGTAATATTGATATTACTACTACTATTATTATTATTAGGAATGATCCAAAAAGCTAGCTAGTAAATTAGCTGTCCATGTCCATACTTAAAGAATAAATAAATATAATGGAATAATTGCGCGTTAATACAAATGAGCGCTTTCTGCACTAGTCAGAATCGCATAATAAAAAAAAGAAAAAAAAACAAGTAGGTAGGCATGTAAGTAGCTTATCTAAGCATAAATATATTTTTTGTTCTTAAAGTGAAAGGTATAGGTGAAGAAACAAGAAATAACAATTTTCATAAAAGCAACAGTTGAGAAAAATAATTGTAATGTATTGATCAAACAGCAGATAATAATAATATTCACGCTTTTATAATTGGAAATGCATACTATACCTTGAAAATTTTAAGTTCTGGTTTAGAAATAACTGAAGAAAATGATGATAATGATGAATGTTCCTCAGCAATGAACACTAAATTTTGATTATATTCTGCAATTCGTCGAGCTTGATCGTCTTCGGATTTGACATTACCTTTTATTCTGTTGTTCTTCATTCTTTTACAAATATTAATAAATCAAATATATTTGTTTTATATAAAATTGATGAACTAACCCTTTAAATACGGCTTTTGAGAATTTAGACAAAACAGGAGATGATGGTTTAGAAGATATTGGGCTAGATGGAAAATTGTTCATTTCGTTGCTAAGATTAGTAAGTATGTCCACGTCGTTTTGTATATCTTGTAATAATAATCCACCATCTCCCGGGCTTGTCGGGGGTGTTTCGGTTTCTAATATATTTTCAAGATCTCCAACAGAGACATTGCTCGTATCTAAAAAATGTTATTTCCTATCAAATGACATATATATTATTTATTTTCAACAAATTTTATTGTTTTTTTATCACAATTATGTGTAATTTAAGTAAAAGTTAAATTTAAGTTTAAATATTCTATAATATTAAAAGTCATTTTTAGCGGATTTTGGTAAATAAAATTGAATAAAAGAACCATATTTTGAAACCTCGATTTCTCTGCAAAAAAGGGCTAGGGTGAACTATGACATCATCACTCTTTTTGCATAGGTGAAATCGAGCTTCAATTGTGTTGACTAATATTTTTACTAGGCGAATCACAACATCAGAATTGGTGTATGAGTACTATTAACAAAAACAAGTTAAAGTAAAAAACAAAAAATATAAAAATGTTTAATTTTTGTAATGTGGAAAATATATGAACTGAAAATACTATCCCATCCCATTTCAAACCACGTTTAAATAGTACATTCAAGCTAATGAGCATAGTAAATTGTTCTAATTTGTTTTTCGTTTATATTAGAGTTTAAATTTTTTTCAAACCGTACTGTTAAACACCTCTATGAAAAAACTCGCAACAACCAAGATATAAACCAAGAACACAAGCAACCGTAAAAAAAAATAACTGCACGCGGCTACCCGACATGGTCGCAGTTTATTGCTGATTATAGTAAATTATATTTACCAATATATATTTACAAATAAAATTAAATTTATACTAAAAACTTGAACAATAAAAAATATTAAAATGTTAATTGCTTAGGTCAATGTTTTTTCTTACAAACGACAATTGTTGCACACTTTCCGGATTTAAACTAGAACTATTTTGTAGAAAAAAATTACACTTGGTACTGGAACGGTAAAAAAAAATCCGCCCAAAATTTCCTAAGATCAATGTGGTTTGAAACTTTAAAAACACAATCAAACTAAACTACCCAGTTTAAATTCGTAACCGCAAAAAACGCATTCTGATAACCAAAAACCGATGCGCGCATATATGTATATATTTGCCAGTTTTTACTTAGGACATCTGGAGAATGAGACCTTCAAAAACAAAGCAAATTTAAAACCAAATATCTACGCTAGATACGTTGATGATAATCTTTGTCTGCTATAACGATCCTGAACAAATCACCTAACTTCTTGGTACCTTAAACAAATCAAAACTAAGATTTACCATTGAAATTGAAAAGGAACAACGTTTACCTTCCTTGATGTGTTGGTTACCCGTGGCGAAGAACGATTCAAGACTGCGGTCTATGTCAAAGAAACAAATACAGGAATTTGTTTGAATGGACAAAGTGAATGTACCGAACAGTTTAAAGACAGCACAATAAAATCATTTGTAAACCGGGCATTCACACACTCTTCCGATATTGAAAAACCGAATTAAAAAGAGTCACTAACCTGCCTGTAAACAATAGATATAAGACTTATTCTAATGAAAAGATTGTTAAAGGCAAATTACTACACAACAATAACCTTCCTAATACCAACAATCAAGATAACGACATCATCTTGTATTACAGAAATCACATGTCAACTGTATACAAAGTAGATGAAGCTATTCTTAAACATATCATCAATAAAAATGTCACACCAACCAACCCAAATAATAAAGTTAAACTCCGAATATATTATAACAATAAAAGACGTCTCACCTAATACTGAAAAACAACTGTAGTCCTAGAGACAACTCTGTGCTAAGGCGTAATCACGTAATATATGAATTTAATTGCCCCTTGGACGGCTGTGCACGTCAACATGACTCATATATCGGGATTACTACTACCTCATTGACTAGAAGGCTTACGATGCATAAACAGAGTGGTGCTATCAAATCTCATTTGGACTCAACACACTCGATCACTATTAGCCGTGAAATCCTCGACAGTAACACCAAAGTAATATACCAGAACAGCAACTACACGCATCTTACAATTGCAGAAGCAGTCCTAATTGACATCAATAAACCAAAAACAAATATACAACAAAAAATGACAACCTCACTTCCAACCGGCGCTTAACCAACAACGAAAACAACGTGTTTTCATTATTGATGATTTCACTGTTTCTAAATTTATTGGTAGGAAGAATTCCAATTGCCGGTTGTTGAATATTTATTATCTTTGTTCTATGAGTATTGATTCGGCTAGTCGTAAATTATAATGGTTGTTATTGTAATGTAAGATTTCAACATTGTGGTCCAAGATTTGTCTAGAAATTTTAGTTTTGTGTTTCTCTTCCATGTGATTCTTTATAACGCTAGTTTGGACGTGCATCGTCAGTCATGGTCGTTGTCATACCCATATATTCGGAATTATGGTGCCCATACACACCAATATTAACAAATATATTTGATGGCTATTATTATAATTTGTTATTTGATTGTTATTTATCTATGCTATATTTGTAATCTCTGGGAGGGTTGTAAAATTATGTCTATGATAAATAATATAAATGTCCTCCAAGGTTGAGGTAAAAGCAGAAGTGGAGGTTCAAGGCAAAGTCGTAAATGAAATTTATGCAGCCATTTGGATAATGTATTGCTCCTTAATGTTGGTATTTAAATAAAACGTTCAAAAAAAGTTGCGTTTGAAGGAGTTGTGGTCATCCATCGGAAATCTTGAACCTACGGATAAACGAACTCCTGACTATCGTTGGAAGCTACAACACGGTGTTATAACATCAGTGTTAGTAGTTACGAGGTCAAAGAGTATTATATTATATAAACCAGTATTTATACAATAGTGTATGAATTCTACTGAATTGTTGGCATTAATCAATTTAGAGTTTGTCTTTTAAATTTTCTAAAAATTGTTCAATTTATTGAAAATAGAATTGTAAATAGATTTTTGTAAAAAATCGAAATAATGTATGATGAATTTTGATTACAACAGTTTTATTTAATTTTTATGATGAACTTGAATAATAATTTTATTTTCAATAATTTGAACAATTTGCAGAAAATTCTAGTAAGTTATAAATCTCATTAAAAATTCCAGTGACTCATTATATTGGTATTACTTTTTTGATCTTTTCAATGCTTTTGCACTTGTTATTTAACCATTTCTCCTTACTGAAAAAAATAGAATTTGAAAAATAGAACCTATAAGCACATTTTTCGGTTTTTTTTTGTCCAACTTTTTGTAACTTCTCAGGATTGCAATTTTTTACATCCCTTCGTCCATCCATTAGAATTTCATCTGTCATCCATTTCTGACCTCTTCTTTGCTCCTTCATAAGTATTACTTCATAAGTATTCTGTGAGGGTATCTCTATTTGACACCGCCCAGAAACCTTCTAAATTTTTAGCCATTTTTTTGTTCAATAGTTACTACTTGTGAGCTTCAGAGTAGAAAAATTTGCCTTCTTCAAAGGTAATGACACTTGATGTTTTCCACAGAGTTTCGCTCAAACCTAGAATGCTGAGATTCATTCTTTTCATTTTTTGTTTTATGCTTTCAAATATTCCAGTCTGGTACAGCGTTCTAACGTTCCATGTTGCCACAATAAAAGGTGTATTCAACTTGTCACAATCATGTTTTTCAATTTGGTTTGTGTTGTGTTTATCGATGTTTTTCTTGGAAAAAGTTGTGGACAGTACGTTGCCATTACTTGCTGTTAAATGCTTATATACATATATTTATTTATTTATATTTATACGTGCAACGGGAAAAACCAGTAGTTAAGATTAGACTTTTATAAAATAAACTACATAGTGAGAATAAATCATAGTACTATATATTTATTCATTTAAACACAAATTTATAAATGCCATTTGCGAAAATAATTGTATCTGTTTTTGTTTGAGCTGAAAAATTCTTATAAATGCAACGTACGTAATCTTTTGAGAATCGCGCTTTTACAAATTCATCTTGAATTCGTAATAGTGACCTCAGTAAAGTCGTCCTGTTACTAATTATCAATTACCTATTCATCCTGAATTCTTAATAGTAAATATCCATTACCTGGTATAAAAATCAGTAAATGAACAAAAAACTTAATTCTGAACTCTTAGTAAGACCTCAATCATTTAAAAAATCATTTACAAGCTAACGTGAAAATCTATAGTTTAATATTTTTTTAGCTTTGCGTTAATCAACACATTTTTAACCCACCAAAAATTAAATCAAAAATTTTACAGCAACTTTTGTATTTATCATGTAAACAAATTTTTTGGAAAAAATATAATTTTTAAAACAATTAATTAAAATAATTTAATCTTTTTGATATAAACTGAATCTTACAGACGAAATATTTTTTGAAAATATTGCAAAAAATTAGTCTTAGATTTCAACTAAATGAAATTACTTTTTATAAGACAACTAAAAAATTAAGACAACCAAAAAATTACTTTGTATAAGACCACTAAAAAAATTTGAAGCCAAGAAAGTCTTGTATGAGGTTCAAGGAACCATAATGTATAATTAGGAGGTTGGTAGTCACTCGCATATCGCTGCGGAGAAGGAATGTACTGCAAAATATCCAGTGCTAAGGGCAACATCATGTTGCCTATTTCAAAATTTCTATCCATTACCTGGTATCAAAATTAAGTTTTTTGAAAGGAGTAGTAAATGAAAAAAACACTATCGGGCGGCGCAATGGGATAACGATTAAAGTGCCTATAACATGCAAAGTGTATGATGCGTTGATTCACGTGTATTAATGGTTGTTGTAATATGCTTAAATGTTTTGTCATGCTAAAAATAAATATCAATTTTAGTTTTAATTTATTGTGTCACGCATTTTATTAGGCATATTTGCAACACCCTAATTGCATTTGGTTTATATATATAAATGGACAAATGAAGAGGTAAGAAGCGGAGAAGTTTTTTGTGCAAACTGCAAGCAAATTAGCGATAACATCCGAGGAAGAGTTTATCAAGAAAAATTCTAAACGCGGTCTGCGAGTGAGTTAACAATAATCTTCTGAAAAGTAAATACATCAAATACTGAGAATTTTCGGCCAAAAAACATCTGACGGGAGAATTCTAATTATTGACGATTGGTTTTAATCATCGAAAAAAATGTGATTGTTATTGTGTAATATTCTAACGATTTTACAATTGAATTAACTAGTGATTGGTCACAGCAATACATACAAGTGTTGCATTGTATTTTTCTTAATAAAGTTCATCTAAAGTAAGTCTGTTTACAAGTCAAGAAGCCACGTAGGGAGAAATGACTAGACCCCACATGTTCAAGGGGTCAGTTATAACAATTTAAATAAACCCCAAATAAACATTCTACAAAGTAATACAAATTACATTATTACCAACTCGACGCCTTAATACTAACTCCAATAAAAATGAGGAAAAAGCAACTGACAACAACAAAGAAGATGAAGAATAAGAAATCAACTAACTAACTTTGCTAAGTAACTAACTTTGCTTTGTCTAAAGAAACTATATAAACCAAAGCTGCACTGAAGATGATTTGTAAAAAATTATGCAGCTTCTGCATGATGAATTTGGATAATAACAGTTTTCATTAAATTTGCATGATGAACGTGGATAATAAATTTATTTTCAATAAAATAAACAATTCACAGAAACTTCCAGTAAAGAAAGTTGAAAAGACTAACTTTAAATTGATTAATCCCAATTATTCGGTAAAATTTTCCAAAATTCCAATAAATATACATGTTGAAAGTAGACCATATTTTTATTAGAGTATTGCATGAATACTAGCAAATTCGGTAAAATTCATACAATACTGTATAAGATATATATATAAGATATATATAAGTTTATAAGAAAATTAAGTATGCATACGTTGTAATGTAAGATTTCAACATTGTTGTCTAGTATTTGCCTAGTAATTTTAGTATTGTTATAACCGACCCCTTGAACTTGTAGGGTATGGTTATTTCTCTTTTACGTGGATTCTTGATTCCTAAACAGACTTATTTTAGATGACTTTATTAGAAAGAAAACAGAGCTGGCAATTGCCGTAATCGATCACTCGTTCGTTCGATCGTTAAAATCGTTCAAATACAAAACAATAACTTATCAACAGTTAAATCACAGGATAAAACTAATCGTCAATAATTAAGCTCTTCTCGTCAGATGTTTCTTGACCGATAATAGGACTGCGATAATAGGACTGCCTGAAACTTCTTCTGACTTCTTCGTAATTCTCGTCTTTCCTTGTGAATTCGTGCACTTCTCTCTCTAATCTCTGTATTCTCTCTCCTCTTTTCTCTCCCTCCTTATATAGTTGGTGATGCCGCGTCACGTGACTTTCCAATCGTTCACGCCTTTTTGCTAGTAAGTGCATCACATGACTTTTACAACCGTTTTCATTGGCTCCACCTCTTAATTAAATTATCAAGCGCTTCACTTAAATTTCTAATTACTAATTTTTATCTCGCCTTCACGTCTGTTTCTCTATTATGTGCCAGTTTGTACGTGCATCGTGAGTCTTGGTGGTATATTGGTCATATAATGTTATTTTTGTTGTTACTGTTATGTTATTTTTGTTGTTAATTGAATTGTTGCTGCTTATTTTTGTTCTTTGCGTTATATTATTTTCTGGATCATGGAATTTTTTTGTCCATTATAAGTGAGTAATTTAGTGACTATCAAGTTATGTTTAACTATAATCATAAATAGAGTTTTGTTCAAGTTCTGTTAAACTATAATAATAAATATAGTTCTGTTCATGTCAACTATAAACTTAAACTCACGGCTATTTACATCAAGTTAATAGCAAGCATGATAGAATAAACCAAATATTTTAGAATTCAATAAGTATAACGGTTGTTTGATGAAAAAAAAATTGAAGTCTTATTTTAGAGTTTCATAGTTTAAGTCTAATAAATAAAAAATATATAAACGAAAATTTTTTAAAACTTTATAGTTAACAGGTGTCAATGAATTTGAAAAATTGATTTTAAGCATTTAATAGGAAATAACAACAAAATTCTTTGCATATCCTTTACTTTTTAATTAAAAAATTGGAATTTTATTTTAAAGTTTTCAAGTCCCATAAATAAAAAATATCGAAGCGAAAATTTTATAAAACTTTATAGTTAACAGGTATCAATGAATTTAAATAAATTTATATTATGCATTTAAGGAAGATTATAACAAAATTCGTTCCGTCGTTCCGTACTTTTTTTTATTGTTTCAAAATTTTTTACAGCCAAAATTTTTTTTAATTGTTCCACAATTTTTTACAGCCAAATGAAACAAAAATTTAAATGAAGAAGTTGGACCAAAAAAAGGAATCGCTTTGTCCAGTTGTAGGCAAATTCTAAATTCAAACCTTTTTTGAAATGGAAATCATTTTACCACGCTTAGTTTCCACATGTTAGTTTCTACAGAGCAAATCTTAAATTCGAATTTTCAATAACTTCCCATTGTCTGATTAGGCTGGAATTTCATGCATTTTGCTCATTTCCGATGACAATGTATCATCAAACTTAATAAAATTAATTCGATAAATTAATGAACAGTCTGGCTAATAAATTTTAAATATTTATAAATGCAGCGAATAAATTGACCATTGTGGTATTAAGATGAAATTTATGATATTGTATAAATTAATAGACTAGCAAGAATACATAAAGTTACTATAAATTATTTTGTAACACTACCACAAAATGAAGCACAAGTGGAAAGGTAAGAATACAATTTTACAAAAACAGTGATTTAAACAAATTTTTTTTAACTATTTAAATTAAAATTTATAATATTTATAATGAAACACAGGACGAAAAACTAAAGTACTATTTTACAAATATTATCTTTCTTTTTTTTGTCTTTAGTTTGGAATTAAGCCTAAAGCTTTGAAACTGTCCGAGTTTAACAAAAGACTTCAACTTAGTTAATAAACAAGCATATTATTATTATTATTATTTTCGCTTAGATATTTTTCTGAGGTTATTGTATAAATACACGTGAATCAAAACAGGTGAGGTTAACAGGTTACATTCGATCCCGGACACTGCATCAACAATATCAGGCACCTAAACCATTACACCTTCGCGTCCATAATTCTTTAAAGAAAGAAAACTAAAATAATTTTCGCTGTCTAACAATAGCTATTATAAAAACTCAGTTCATTGTTAGGGTAAACTAAAAAAAATATTATTTGATATATCCATTCGCAAATTTTACAATTTGAGTTCAAGTATACAAGTTAAAAACAGAAACAGGTAAATTAATTGAACAATTTTGAACAATTAAACGTAATGAAAATTTTAAACAACTCTAATTATACGTACATTTGTCATAATTTTTACAAAAATCTTACTTTTGCAAGACCAGATAGGTAGGCATTGAATACAACAGAGCACCTATATTTATTGATATATATTTTTAAATAAATATGATTAGGAATGAATGATTCAACAACAATACTAACAAGTTACTTCACAATGGAAAGAAGCGGAACATTAAAAATCGTAAAAAAATAAATAAACGTGTTATTTACCATTTCTATCTATCGCAATCGATCACTAATAATGTTAACTAAAAAAATATATCAATTACGGTTTTTAAATTTAAATTATATCGCTTAAATAAATTACTTAAAAATTTTTATCGAGAATATACATCGGCTCTAAAAGTTGTTTGGAACCACACAGCGGATATATCTTTGTAATGAGGTTTTGTAATAGCTTTTCTTGTCAATAACAAAATAAGCAAAAAAATAAAATAATTCAAGCAATTACACGGAACATGAGCGTATTAGTGCTTTTGTTTAAATGTCAGGTGTTTGCTGCGTTAATTGATGGAAACAAAGTTTTAAAAACACTAATTAACGCATGTCTACTTGTTTACTTTATAGATGTTAAAATAATGTAGACATTGCATATTTTACTATCCGGCAGTAATATCATGCCGGAGCCGAATATGGCCGAATAGTGAAAAATGGTCAGATTTTCGCTAAACTCCGGTGCAACTCCAATATTTATACTGGGTACACCTGGGCGGCTTTGCCTTTTGCCTGTACTTTTTTATATACTGTATACAATTTTTTTAATTTTTTGAAGTTTAATTGGGAATAAGTACAATCGAAAGTACAATATTAATTAGCATGAAAAATGTTTGGAATTAGTTATGGTCGTGTTCAAGTATAGACATTTTAAAATATACTTGAAATTAATTTTAGTCGCCGACAAAAACATTTGAATTCATTTGAATTGAAATAGTTTTAGTTGGCATCAGATTTATCCGGAATTATAACAAATTATAACGAATTTATAACGGAATTTTATATATTGGGATATAATGGGCTTTAATCTCGAATAATATAAATAATGAAAGCACATATATTTTTGTTTATTTAGGTGCTCTGAGAATATACATCGGTTCTAAAATATGTTTGGAGCCACGCTGCGGCGATCCCGTTGTAATGACGTCACAATTTTCTTGTCAATTTGTGCTGCTAAAATTTCTAAAATTCAATTAAATTTTATATAACTATTTAAAAAACAATTTTTCGTTTTGTCAATAAAAATAGTAAAAATGAATACACTTGTAAATATTTCAGTTTTATAATTTCAGAGGTTAAACGAGGTTTAACAGTTTTGGTGTATTTTACACATGTCACCAAGTAAAACGCGCAATTTATACATGTAACGAGATAAAAATTGCGCGGTTTACTATAAAATAATACTATCCGGGGCAAACCCTAATAAATATATAGCACACAGGCATACGAACACAAATATGTATAAGATATTAAGACCAGTGCACAATAATTATCATAGTGACGGAGTATGATAAAAAACTTTCAATTTTTATTAAAAAAATTTCTTCTGCACTAAAAATATTCGACCTCTGCTTTCTTTTTTCATTTTTACAATTATTTGTTAACATGTGAACATGTAGTGTATTCTACTAAATGTATTCTAACCAATTGTATATATGCAAAATACAAAGCACGAAGAATTACGATTGTTTTGCTTGGACCTTCTGTAAGTAAGTCAATTATATCGTAATTACTTTTAAATTACATTTACCAGATATTAAAACCAAGCACTAAGAATGAGAGGTTTTTTTTCAAAATATGTTAATGTGTGTGTTGCATGCAGTTTTTATTGTATGTTTTAATGTAAGTTTAATGTATCGCTGCAGATGTGAAGTCGAGATACAAATTAATAATTATGAATTAAGCATGCATAGATGAATTTAAAAAAAACTAATGAGTTTTTAAACATGTAAAGTAACACGCATCTGACACGCATTCCAAAAAGAATTGTAAACTCATTTATGAACGTCATGGGGTGAGTGTGATAACATCAGGCTTTGTCTAAAAATGTCACACATTTTATTAGGCATATTTATATACATAGGCGCATTGGTATTATAGAATTCTATAGAGAAAACCTGGAGGGTCGACTGGAATGAAAATTTTCTGTAAGCGGAACCTCAGAGGCGATATAAATTAATGCTTTATACAGTGAAGTTAACTCATTGTTTCCTTGTTGTAAAGTTTATAAAGTGAACCTTTGAAAGCATTATTATAGGAACTTATATATATATATATATATATATATATATATATATATATATATATATATATATATATATATATATATATATTCGTTTAATTAATTTTATATAATAATTTGTTAAAAAATTCTAAGACAACCTTAATTTGTAAGGAGGAATAGTGAACGATTTTTCAGAT